TTTCCCTAGTGTCCTCATGTATAAAAGGGACTTAATAATATTTCATAGGGTTCTTGTAAAGGTTAAATAAAATAACACGTAGAGCATCTAGCCCAGTGCTTGGCATAGAGGTGCTTCCCTTCCTTCGATTCTTTCTCTCCAAATAGGGAATTTCCATTTGAAAGTTAACTTGTAAAAATTATTTTATAATAGTACATAATCAGGCAGCCTCGCTTTGTTAAAAGGGACTGTTTATAGAGGAAAAATCATTGATTATATGGAAGTATTTCTCCTTGGGATCAAGTCAGCTGAGTATTTCTTAGTCATTATCAAGAATTGGAAATAGACTTGTTATGTATCATTGTTGACTTTGAGCAGGGCTGGGAGTTTCACCTGCCTTTGCATTGTCTCTGCCCGAAAGGAAGGGATTCTAATTCTCCCTGTCTTTCTACTACCTGAGCCTCGTGGTGTTATGGTACATGTGCAGTCTAGTAATTTGTACTTACATTAAGCAAAATTCTGTCACATTTTAAAAGATAGGCTCTTTGTGTCAGTCACTGAATTTAATTCTGATTGGAAACCAAAGTTTGACCAACTGAGGTAGGAATTTCATGAAAACACATTTCATCCCAGTTCCTAATTACAAGGTTTGACTCTCAATAAAAGTGAGAAAGCTACATATATATTTTTTTAAAATAAATTTATTTATTTATATATTTATTTTTGGCTGTATTGGGTCTTCGTTTCTGTACGAGGGCCTTCTCTAGTTGTGGCAAGCGGGGTCCACTCTTCATCGCGGTGCGCGGGCCTCTCACTGTCGCGGCCTCTCTTGTTGCGGAGCACAGGCTCCAGACACGCAGGCTCAGTAGTTGCTGCTCACGGGCCCAGTTGCTCCGCGGCATGTGGGATCTTCCCAGACCATGGCTCGAACCCGTATCCCCTGCATCGGCAGGCAGACTCTCAACCACTGCGCCACCAGGGAAGCCCAAAGCTACATATTTTTTAAAAACTTTGTATGTGTGATGGTGATGATGGGAAGAGGATGGCGGGTGTGAGCCTAGCGTTCAGCAGATCTTGGCTGCCTTCCTTCAGACTTGGGTTTTCATTCATTCTCCCCACCCTCTTCCCCCTTTTTACTTAGAGATTATACTAAATCAGTGGAGGAAAGGTAGAAAATTCAGATGAGCAGAAGAAAATAAAAATTATGAATAATCCCACTTCTCCGAGAAAACCATTATTAACATAGTCACGTATTTAAGTTTCAGATGATTTTTCTCTTCATATATTAACATGTTTAAAACAAAAATGGTATCATCTAAGCCATACTTTATATAAATGGCTTTATTCAGTCATCAGTGTATTATGACTTTTATACTGATAAGCATATTTCCACAACTTCTGGTTATCTTTGTTTTCTCCTAATTATAGAGATAATGTGTATTTACTGAAAAAATTCTTAAGGAATACAAAGATAACAGAAAATACAGGTTTCCACGTGAGTCAGTCATTCACACAACAGTATTTTTTAAGGTCTGCTTAGTATTCCACTGTATGCCTGGATTGTCATACTGAGCTAATCTGTGGTGGTCTCCATTTAGCAATGAATTAGAAACAGTCTGTAGTAAACCACGCTGCTGTGAACATCTTTGTACATACATCATGGTATGATTGCCCAGTCATCTCATGAGAGTAAATTCCCACAAGTGTATATGCTGGTTAAAGTGTGTGTTCATTTTAAAGTTCTTTGGCCAGTATTTCTTAATTCCATCCAGAAAAAATTAAACCAATTTATTCTCTGATTAGCGTTTTTGGGGGAATGTCTGCTTTCTAATCCTGTTTTTTGGTTTTTTTTTTTTTCTCTTTAAAAAACAATTTTTACCAGTTTGACAGGTAAAAACATTACTTAATCTGGAGTTATTTTTGATTATTAGGTAAATTTAATTTTTTTTCTGCGAAGTTTTGGCCATGTGTATTCCTTTGTGAATTACTTGTTTGCACGTTGTAAAAACATTGAATTGTTCATCTTTTTATATAAAACTAAGTATTTTAGTTTAAGCCTGACTTAGTAGATGCCCTAGTCTCTTCTGTAACAAAATGAGCTGTACATAAGTACTTCACTCAAGTGGAACACCTTGCTCTTTGCAAAGGTGTTTATTGACCTGGGAGCCAGGAAATTTCGGCACAGCCTTATTATTATTCTCCAGTTGGCCTATAGACTCTTGATGCCTCTCTCTAGCTGCCTTTAACTGTGTGGGATTTTCCAGCACCATCTCTGCGTTTGTCTGTAGCTGTGTCAGTATATGCGTGGGGAGTGAGTGGGACTCTGCTGTCTATGGTGATAAATCCAAACAAGACTTTTTATTCCTAAGTTAATAAAAAGTAACTAATATGGACTGACACTGTTAAAAGACCAACTGACTGCTCCATTTTCCTTATTTTATCATGCTGGCAAACAGGGCAAAAATATCTCTTAAACATTTCAATATAAAGTAGCTTAAGTTATTTTGGTGTGTAAAGTTTAAATTTTGTATTGTGATTCTGTCTCTTCCTAACATACCATGTGGGGCTGCACTTTCTCTTTGTTTTAAAGGGAGAGGAGCGTGTCTGGCATGCTCGCCATGTGTACAAGCTGAGGGTGAGTGTGACAGTGAGTTTGAAAAGGAGTGAAGTGTGACATGGATAACCTCTTTTTAGGATGGTGCAGATAGGTGTTTTAGTAAACAACCAGTTTTTTGAATAAACTCACTGTGGGTACTTACGGGATAGTGAAAATATTGACACTTGGTGGTGACTAAATAGAGTAACCACAAAGCACTTTCTAGCATGGCACCTGTCACATAGTAGGTGCTCATTAAATGTTGACAGTTATACGTTCGTATGTCATTTCATTAATTTCATAGTTATTTATTGAGAGCCTACTCTCTGCCAGGCACTGGTCAGGGTCTTGGAGGTACTGCAGTGAATGAAAAGACTGAAACGTCTTCTCATGGAGCTAGTACTCTGGTGTGGGGAGATAGTCACTAAATAAGTAAGTAAGTAGATGATCCCACACTTTAAAAGAGCACAAGTACCATGAAGAAAAATAAATCGGGGAGATGACTGGAGGTGCTGATGGGAAGCGAAGGATTCGCAGCTTTAGTTAGGGTGGTCAAGGAAGGCACTGTTAAGTAGAGGTCAAGCAGAGCTGGGATTAAGCCCATCTTTACTACTGATTAAGTGAGTGACTTTGGGAAAGGTATTTAATCTTTGATCCTTAATTTCCACGTTACAAAAAGGGATAATAATGAACCTGATGCATAAGTTTAAATGAGATAATACAGAAAGCATGTAGCGTTATGTCAGATATCTAACTCGCAGCAGGAAGAAAGTGTTGTTCGTGGCTAGGAAGGTGGGCACTGCCCTGGCAGTCACAGGCTGGGAGACACAGGCATGCCCAGAGGAGCCGAGAGTGGGGGCTTTGTTCCTGCAGGAAAGCTGCAACAAACAACAGTGTTTAATGTGGGTAGGAGAGAAAAGAAGAAATGAGTGGTGGGAGTCTTGGCTGTGTATGTGTAGGGGAGAAAA